ATGTGTAATTTTATTCTGTAAAAGCACTGCAGAGAAACGGCATGAACTTTAAATTCCTAGTACATACTTTGAAGGAAGTATTCTCCGACGAAAACAGTTCTAACACATTTGCTACTACAGTGAAAATGAATGTGTGTCGCAAAATATATTGAAATGCTAATTAAAGATGAGAGCAATAATTACTTAAATTTTTTAATGTGACTTTGATCATTTATATGAATACTACATTCGGTAAGAAATAAAGGATTGCCAAATTTGTTGTAATGATTTCTAAGAATATAATTATTCCGGTGTATTGTTTTAGAAGCGAGTCGTTCCGTGCTGGTGGCTAAACGTTAGTCGGCAACGTGCTGCTGTAACGTTTCTAGGTGCTTTCCCACGGTTACCGTGCAATACACCGCATCTTTCTACCTATGAACTTTTGCGGAACACTAGCTTTCTACCTATGAACACTAGCACAAAACACACGCGACGGTACCCCGTGCAACAACCGGACGACTGCTCCGCTTTTTCTACTTCAGACACGCTTTCTCGCAGCGTCATCGATGAAAGGAAGGCTAACAACACCGATGGAAATAGAGCGCGAACTTCACTGATCGATTATTGTTCACCGATAATTCGGCCCTCGACTAGAGCTGTTAATTTGAGATATCCGGGTACCCGTGAGATACTTCCATAGATGAGATAGTCAGGGATTTCAATTTGTAGATCGATCGTTTTTTATTCATTTTTAACAAACAAATATCCCTCTAATTAAACTAATATTATCTATTAATGAAAATTTAAATTAAACAGAAAAAGAATCAACAATTTTCTTCTAATTTGTATAGAAAATGAATAATTATTAATGAAAGATGATTGAGTTTGAAATTGAAATTTTCGAGAATCCTATCTGAAAGTGGAAACGGTTTGTTGGGATTGCGAGACTTTCCGCTTCGAACCGGCGCAACGCGTAAATTTGAACAACAAGCGTGACCTTAATGAGAAAACGGACTCGTGGCGAAAAACGGAAACAACTAACTCTTCTTGTTTTTTTTTTCTTTTCTACAATTACGCGGAATCGACTCACGGAAAAGGCTGATTGACACGACGAAAGAGGAAAACTAGAGAGGACGAAACGAAGCTACGACTTACGTAACGACAGCAAGTAACGCTAATGAGCCTACCTCCGCCTTCGTTCCTCTTGTTCTTTTTTCCAGAAGTCGCTTCTCGACGCCCCGCTTACGAAAACTATTCGAATGACGGACAATTGAGAAAAAACAACCGGCTTGTTCCCGAAATATTAGTATTCTAGATAAACCGCGCGTGGACGTAGCACTCAAGATCAGCGCTTAAATAAAATAAAGATAAACCTGTGTCTTCCAATTAATTTTGCTCCTAATATGTTACAGATCTATTCAATTCGAGGTCAGTGGAAATGAGATTTACGAGCGTATCAACACCTTCACGGTAGTAAACTTCATGGAATCTATGATTTATAATTTTATCTACCTCCTTATGGGTAATCAGAGCCTACTAATAGAGTTTTATATCATAGATATCGTTAATACATGTCATAAAATTTCTAATTTCAAATTGCAGTTAATTTACTGCTACACTAATTTTAACTTAAAGTTATTTAATTAAAGGTTCCTATTTATAATAACATAATATACAAAATAAGTACGTAGCGATCATGACGAGTTTCATTGTTTCGAACGAGACACTGGACACTCCGCGTGGCCAGACAATCCCAAGTAGTATTAGGTGTGGTAATCAGACCGTCTTCACGCCTCAAGTGGAAGTTATCAATCAATGACGCGAAATATCAAAGCTTATAATTCTATCATAAGAAACTCAATTCAAATATTAATTTCAAAATATTTTCGTGTCTTACACGTAACACACATACATGTCTCTGTGATGCCGAAAGGATTAAATAGATCAATTTAATAAATAACTGTGCAAAGTTATATAAAAAAGTAGCCATCAATTAAGAAGTTTATAGCACTTACGCTATTAAAGAAGTGATATTATTCGGTGCTAATGAAATATCGATCGTTCGAATATTTTATTGATTTAGCAACAATATAAAAAAGTGCAGCGTGTAGGTACTACGTGTAGCAAGAAAAACATGTCAATTAAATATCGTGAAAACGGTAAAGCAAACACGTGGTGCAGCGTGTTTTCTCCGCGAAAATTCCGTGGAAGTGCTCGCACACTTCCCAGTAGTTTAGAATCGTTTCGCAATAACGCTAGTCACGGTCGCGTGGCTCGATTATTTCCATTCAACTCACGCAAGAACATCTTTGTTCGTGCGATTTAAACGCTGCGTTTCTTTCGACGCGACATCATTATTCCCTGCCCCTGCACGGTTTCACGAAATTAACGTCGATTTCATGGAAAATCAAGCTGCCGTTTCATCCTGGCCGATCCAGCGCGCAAGAACGGAATGCATGAAAAATAAAATAAATGCGAAAAATAAAGGGGGATTTCTTTCGGCTGCATTTGAAAGGTTAATTAAATGTCACGTAATTTAACGCGCATTTTTCTCGTACACCAATGGACGGAACATTCCTTCGTATAATTGAATAATCCAGCAGAAAGATCCTTTAATTGGAAGCGACCGGGAATCGTGTAGAACAGCGTAACATCGCGTCGCTAATTATGTCACGAATCTATCTGACTGTAATCGGAAGTAATTACTACTCGATCGACGGAGAATTTAATCCAATGATTCGGCAAATTACAGTACAGTAACGTTGAGTGTTATTATATTACACAGGTTAGTAATGGTACAACCATCGAACGCTAGATAATTCCTTGGAAATTCAATTTTCGAGATTGATGAAGTGCTCATGCACTTGACTAAGAATCGATCCGATGTTATTGTATGATTCGATACTCTTATTCGTTGTCTGGCTTTGTTAATATCAGGAATGTCGATATCGGTGAATAATTTAAATCAAATGAACCTTTAACTGCTTTATTTATTCATTAATTCTGTCTGTTGCTGCCAAACGTTATGTTAGCTATCTTGTTATCTGTTAAACTCTAATAGAAATATTTATACTGTAGGAAAATGATTTTTAATAAAATCCACCGTGAATAGCTTTCAACCTTGATTTTCTCAGAAACTGATCCTTGTATAAATACTTTGACTGATATACGATGGTTTTAAATAAAAATTTTATTCAAAAATTGCCTCGAATTTAATTTCACTTTACTAGAATCATAGTACGTATTTAATCTTCAGAGAAGATCGCGAAATAAGGCTTAATCATTTCAAAAGAATCATCTCAAAAAGGAAACCTTCGCGTTCTTATTCAATGATCGCTTCATGCTTATTGAGCAACGATGATCATGCCATTTCCTTCTCCGTTATACATATAAAATGAGCACGGTTTTTCGTTCGATAAAAGAACACGATCCAGCACGATTTCTCTCTTACAATTCCACGTGACGAATGATCGCAGAGTTCGAGCACGCGAGAGCGTGTCGCGTTTTTCGTTGCTCCACGTTGGCAACGGTGATTTCTCAAAATCGCACGGTGCACGGGTCGCAGCCTCGCGTATCAATTATTCTCCCGATTCTTATCGCGTCCGGAGCGAACACGCTTTATGCAGGCCCATTTTTTTCAACGGGTCAGCCAACGACCACCGAAAGACACGCGTGACGTCGTCTTACGACCATTTGCTCGATTATCGTTCCGCGTTCCAGCCCTCTCGTTGGCTCGTTTCTTTTTTTTTCCTTCTTCGTCTTTCTCTTTAAGCCGGCACGAGTCTCTTAACGAAGATAAAAGGCCTGCTAACTCGAGCTGCTGACTCGAACACGCGAGCAAACTTCGAAAGAGAAACGTCTCGAATTTGCACGTGCTTCTCGTCAATGGCTCATCGACTCACGCACATGCTCCTTTCCTTCTTTCAAACCACTTCCTTTTCGCGTGAGAAGGACCCTTTTACCCGTTCCGAATATTTTATCATAATTTTTGCGGAAATTTTACCCCATTTCTCAGCTTCTGACGATAATTTCGCGATACCAAGCGCGTGTATTGAAATACGGCTCAAATATACGGGTAGCATGGAACTAAATGTTTTAATGGATGGTTTGTAAGTTACAAATTAGGATCACGAAAGAAGGGTTTCGTTTAGGTAACACTTTGTAAGCTTGTAACATAACCAAAATTAATAAAAAAGGGTAATTCAAGTTTAAGAGATATAGTTTTCCTAAGAGTAAGTAGAAAAATTCAATTGTTTATGTTAGCAATTGCATCCTGATTGATTTTAATATTTTCATAATAGACTCTATTATCTATTAAGTAGAGCATATATTACCAATATATGCTTAGTAATTAGATAGCCTTTGTGGCTCAAGCAGAAACTATCAATTAATTAAAATCAATTCAAAATTTCATAGCTATGACTTTGTCATCGTACTATAACAAGATTACAAACTTATCTGATTGCAATAAGTCAGCTCAAATATTCGAATCTCAGCTACACAAGATGGCCGTCTGCCTAACATGCTCCTGTTTTGGAGCGTCGACACAAAACTGATACAGCGATCGATACATCAATGCTACTCTATATTTTACATACTAATTTCTTCCTAAAAAGTTATCCAATACACTATAGTGTCATATAAATCGTGTTTACACATAATAAATTGTGAATTCGTATGTATCCTAACCGCTTGACGTGCCGTCGTTTGAATGACACGAACAATAGCAAAAACAATTACTATTAACTTCGTTTAATTAATGTCCATGTTAAAATAAAGACAGTTTTTAATCCTACCTTAACATTGTACGCCTCAAACAGCTTGAAGACACCCGACACAACACAAAACTAACACGAAAACTCTGGACGCGAGGTACTACCGTATGCACACGTGTTGATACTACTGAAGCGTTCGTAAAACTAAACATGAACGCCTGAGGCGCGCGCCAATTCAAAACAAAGATCGAACGCGCAGAAGAGCACGCGATGTTCCTTAAGTAATATTATTGTATTATCACATACCTGGACTGGTCTGCCAAGATAGACCACCGATGAACATTTTCCTAGAAAAAGAAAGATGAATCCATCAGCACCGGTGTCAGGTCTCGCCGCCAGCACATGATGAAGGAAGACAGGGGAGACTGCCGGCAGAGGGTAACTTCCGGTATCGTGACCCCCTGTGCAGTCTCCATTTGTTGACGGCAGGTGTCACCACACATCAACCAACAACTGAACAACTTTTGGCTAATTTTTTTTTTTTTTTTTTTTTTACTTTAGCTTTTCTTTCATTACGAGAACCTTATTGAAACACGTCGTTTGATTCGCGATTCACCGTATCCCTTTGAGAAAGAAACCAAACGATTCACGCGCGAAACACAACAAACACATGTTCTCCTCGAACCTAGGCGCCTTCTTCGTTCAATAATTTGATTATTATAAAGAATTTGAATAGTCGAAGGAACGAATTCACGTTACACGTTCATTTTAATTTAAACATAGAAGTGTAATTAAATAGTAAAATCGTTATCTATTTCCTGAAATCTTGGGAGTTTAATAAAGGCGTCTTAATGGAAAATAAAATGTCGCTTCCTCTTAATCGATGAACGAATCAAGCCTTGAGTTTACATCACTTGGTCTTCGCCGCTTTGCTGTACCGGATCGTACCTATTAACTAGTTTACGAGAAGTGCCATTGTCATTGGTATCGTAAAAGGTTTTACACGCTGATTCGACCCCCGCGTATTTACGAGGACAGTAACAAGGACGTGATCCTGATGTAAACATATTTTAGATGCGAATTCGTTTAGATGGGCGACATTTAAATTAAACTGACAATGAGCTCTTTAAGCGATAGGGAAAAATTATCCACTATAATCATCCTCAAGTGTTGTACTGATCCGATACCATGAATGTTAGGACTGTCACTATTTATGAATGCAATTTTTACGGTAAACGCGTTAAATCTGTCAATGAACTTGAAAGCGCAGATGCTAATCGCGTAATGCAACGTGAGGTGCGAAGTAAGTAGACCGTTCTACGATACGTTGTGATTAACAGAGGCATAGAGGAAACGCGTCCAGCTTTCCCTTCAATGGTTTTTGTTTTTGTTTGTATCGAGAAAGAAGATCATAACGCAACGCGCTGGCATTGCCGGGAAGCAAAGATTATCGCGTTCGACGGTATATCCACGAAGATAACACTCTCGCGTTGTGGATTTAATCACGTGGTGGCGCATTTGCACATCGATTTTCCGTGACACGATATAATCTATTCTCCTCGCCCACGTATTCTTCCCTCTCTATCCTCTTTCCCGCCCCCTGTTCCTCCCTCTTTAGGTATTCGTGATACGAAGAACTGGAGTAGGCTACTGCTCTATACCACGTTAATAGGTTCAAAAGAATTAATAGGACAAATCATTGACCATATGTCGTCGGGATCGATCTCGAGACCATACACCGGGCAACGTTACCGATCCGTTCAACTTCCCACGGAAGTATCGAACGTTAATCACTCCCCATGAAACGATACCAATGCGCACTAGGTCTTGTTATCGAATATGCGATAAACATCGCGATTACATCGAAAGAAAATGAAACGGCACGATAAGTTTGAACTAGCAGCTAATAAACGAGCCGGCTCCTTTCTATTTTTATTCGTGAGTCACGTGGAGGGTGCAAGACACCGTAGTTCGACAAAGAAAAACTTTCACCACCGCGCGACGTATATATCTACCCCTTCGAAACACGTGTTTCACGCTCTCCGGAGCGTAATCTTTGACGTGCTTTTTACTTCTACCGGTTATCTATCACTTGCACTTGACGTCATAATTCGCTCGAAATTGGCGGCAAATTTGAACATGTTAAACGGTTTCTCTTTCCCACCCCTTTTTTTACTCCATTCTTCTCGAATCTCAGCCGTTCGACCGTCCCATTCATCTAACTTTCCCCCTTGACTCCCTCCTTTCGTTACATCGAGTCGAAAGAAGGCGCGTTGAAAGAAGGCGCCACTGGTACGAGGAGAGCGCGGTGGCACGCATATTCACGCGGCCGACAAACATAAACACTACCCGTTTCCGTAGATTCGGAGGTGACAACACCGGTGGCAACACCGATACGAACGACAAGCGGCAATAACGAAATGAATAAACCGGTAACGTTGAAGATTCGCAGGTGAACGGCTGGTATCACCGTTCCGTAACCGTATAAGAAGCATCAACAGAACAAACACTGGCACGGAGCTGGCCAACGAAAACACAAGATTTCAAGAACACGGCCCGCGTCGAGCGATTGTTTCGCGCGACATAAACACACTTTTGCTCCGTTTCAAAGCACGCTTTATCGTTGGTGGTGGATGTAGTGGAGGTTTGTTTTGGGGTCAGTAATATCCTAGTTTCTCGTACCCTGGATCATTCGGCACCTCGGCTGGCGAGCCGCTCGCTACGATTTCCTGGTTTTGGGGCTCCATAGCGACGCGCGGCGCACGGCTCGTTGTTATGGCAACGCTCCCTCGCGTGTTCGGGATTGCAGTAGCAATGCTAACACTAGTGCTAGTGGCAATGATAGCCGATCTCGCCGATCTCGCCGATAGCCGTCTTGGTACTCGCTCTTCCGCCTTTGATCTTGTCGTCGGACGAACGACGCTCCGTTTCACTTGTCGATGGCAAACAACGTCTCGATACTGGTGTCAACGCTTCCAATGTCACGACACGCACTTTCACGCAACTTTTACGCTCACGGTTTCCCCGTTGATCCTTGTCCCTTGAAAAACTACTCTCGCGCCTCTTCTCCTCTGTTGTTCACCTGTCTCTTTCTATCTCTATCTATCTATCTATATATCTCTCTCTCTCTCTCACCCCTGTACGCTTCCCTCGTTGTCCGAATCTACTTGCCGCTTTCGGAGGGTGCGCGTATACTGGTTATCGCGCGAGACAACACACGACAACGAGCTTCTGCACGATTGTCGACGATGAGGACGGTGGTACGTGTCGGAAACGTACGCGCGTACGTTTCACGCTCGCACTTTTAAAACAAATTTTTTTTTTAACGAGTCGACGGAATAACCGCGTTGGTCGCGTCGAGCCGGATCACGACGACGGCGACCACGACAACGACGACGGTGGTGGCGACGGCGATAGCGACGACGACGACGACGACGACGACGACGACGACGACGACGACGTCGGCAACGACGGCAACAAGGAGTACAGATCACAACGATGAAAAACCGGGCTGTCGACCTCTCGTTTCTCCCTTTTTCTCAATCGGTTTCTCGTTGTTCCTCTTCTGTTTTTTCCTTCTTTCACTTTCTCTCCCTCTCTTTCTCACTCTCTCTCTCTCTCTCTCTCTCTCTCCTCTTTCTTTCCACACTCTCCCCTACTACTGACTACTAAAAACTAAGGAGAAGGTGAGAGGTTACGTGGCTGCGCGGTACGGCGACTACTGATGACGGGCGGCGGCCGGTACTCGGACGTGCGACGCGCTCTGCGAGAGGTTCGACGCGACACTGCGCTCTCGGGGCGCGGGGCGGGGGAAGGGGTGCCGCGGGGCGCAGGGGGGAACAGAATGGAGGGGAATAAGAACGGCGGTGGCGGTGGCGGCGGCAGCGACGGCGACGGCGGCGGCGGAGGCGGTGGAGGCAGTGTTGGCGGCGCTGGCGGGGACACCGTTTCTCTCTCTTTCGTTTCACTAGTTTCTCTTTTCCATCTCTTTCTATCTTCCATTTAGCTTATCCTGTTTCTACCACCCCATTCCGTCTCTCTCAGCATCCTCCGGCTCAGAGTGGGGCGGAATGTGGCGCTTGCGCCTTTGTTGCCCGCCGGACCAGCCAAAGCGGGAAGGGGAAGATCGCGACCGCGTACCCGCCTCCGACCACGCTCTACTCGCCTGTTCGCCCGTTTGCTTACTCGCTTGCTTCTCGCTTCGAAAAAGTCCGACCACCCGCTCGCCTGTACTACTTGCACGACTTACTTGCCTCCTTCTGACGCGACAAAACCTCTTCACCGATCAACCAAACGCGACTACCGTGCGAGTTTCTCCCTGAAGAGCAAAGCGAGCGAGCGAGCGGCCGAACACGAGCATGCCAATAACGTGGAAAACGGCTCTGCTGCTCGCTTTTCCACCGACCGATCCACGCGTCAGCGATTTTCACAGCGTTATTCTCTCACATTATTGCATCACCTCGTTTACAGCTAAACGCTTGATCTTTTATCTGATTACAGTCTTCTGACCATGCTGTTTGGAGAACATCCTTCAACTGGCCAATCTTTCGGTTGGATTCTTTTTTCGCTTACCCCGAATACACGCACCTTCAATCTCATCGCGTTTTTTAACTCGAAATAATTACAACGTTGGAGCTGTTTGGAAAGAGTGTAACTATTTACATTCGCCGCTAAGGTTTCCGAGCGGTTCGTTACATCCGGTTACCGTATTTTCACGCTGCAGTTTACTCTAATTACTCGAAGAGGCCAAGTAGTCATCCTATGAGGGACTGTACCTCCTCGCTCTTTTGCTACTCTGTATCTTTAATTTATGTACTCCCGAAAATTTTAAATAATTTGATACACAGTATCAACAAACAGTATCTCAAATGGAAGATAGTTTGGAAAATTGTTCGCATAAAGCGCAACGCAAATGCGTTAAGTACAAAGCTCGCGAGGATTTAGAGGAAAATATTGAATTCGCAGATTTACGGACGGCGATAAAAACGAAAGAGCACGGCAAGTTAGCTCTTTGTGACCCAAATTCTTTGTTTCCGCCGAGCTAGTTTTAATATTAAAAATGTCCCAACAAGGCCGACGATGTAAAGAAGTGTAGGAAAAATTGAATAAACGATCGTACCGTGTCTTGAACTTCCCTGAAGTTGTAATTAGATGCACATTTTAAAGACACGAAATCGAAGTTCCGAGCACACGAAGATATGAAAGACTGTACGAAAGTTACTATGGCTTAAAACTATCGTATAACGATATGAAGGTTAGAGGAGGAATTCCATTAGCGCCACTTTATATGCGCTTCGAACTATACGGTACTTGAACGATGATATAATACCGCAGTATTCTATACAATGAAATTTGTTTTTCGCACATAACAGGATACCGCTTTGTTGATACCATCTTTCTTTAGGATAATACAATCGTGTGTACGGGACTTCACGAACAATGAAAAGCGAATGTACGTAAGTTTGAACAAAGGCATAACTTGATTTACAACCGTGTGTTACGAAACCATTCCAAACAGTACATTTGCGTCAAAGAATAATTTACACTCTCAAGTTCTAAATGAAATTTCTAATTTATATAATTAGATAGAATTTCTTATATTTTTTAAAGTATGATGAAAATGGAACTATAATAGAAAATTTCATTCTATTTGGATTAAATGGTAATAATGGCATTTTGTCGAAAAGTCTTAATAAACGGATACATACTGTTCCTTTTACGGTGAAACAGCTTTTTATTAGTACAAGACCACCTCGAAGCGATGTGTTTCACAGAAAAGGAAAATCCCACGACCTTTCAAGCACTCGTATATACGAACTCTGCTTTCCTTCTTATTGTCCCTATTATTGCGGTAAGATAAAATGACTGAGATATACTTTCATATGGTTGCAATATCAACAGTGACGAACATTTTGCTGGAGGACTTTACTCTTATCGATTAATATGCAAACATGTGTTCTTCGCATGAATAAATTTTGTATCTTAATTAAAGTTAGAAGATCAGATTTTATGCGAACACTGCTAAAATTCAAATTAATATTAGTTATTGCTTTTAATTATGCGTTATTTCCAAGAAATTAAATAATAATCCCAGGAAAATCACGAAAGCAATTATGTTTATTTTTTATGTTTAATTATCGTACTCTAACGTAGCAAAATGTCTTGCTGCCAATTAAAATTCCGATTCCATTCTCTTGAAAGTTGGCGCAGCCAGAGAGACGTTGCTTTCGAACTTCGTATTCCGACGCTTTCGACTTCCTCTGCATAATTTCGCAGGGCAGCATATCACTCTGAGGCGTGTAAAACAGAATAACATTACAGGTAGCTTTGCGCATGAAATATGTAAGAGCCGATATCGAAATTCCCTGTGTCACCTTGTTTCAGTACAAATACCTTTTACAATCTCTTGAACCTCACCACTGAACTTCGGCTTTTGCAAAATATAAAAAAAAAATCTTACGGTGCAATCAATTAATAGCAAGAATATTGAAAAGTCAGACCGACATTTCATCAAATTAACGTTCTATCGATCATCGGCGAGCAGCGGTGCAAAAGCGTCTCTGAACGATGTTCGCAGCTCTCCCCCAAATAGAAGTAATCAATTGTGATGGAAAACGGTTGGCGTAGGAGCCAACCGGCCGAATCGAATCAAATTGGCATTCATAGAAGGTAAGAAATGATTCCCCTGGTTCGAATCTGTCGCAGTCACGCTGGTGCAGTTCTGATGACAGACCCAGAGGACCGTCGGGGACCTGCCAATCACTATTCGCCGATTTTAGTCCCCCCTGCATCGAAGCCTGGACCAGCACGTAGCCGAAACGTTTCCTAGTTAGGCCAGCGACCAGCTATCGTCATTAGTTTACACTCTGGTCTGGTCAGCTTCGGATCATACAACTGGTGGCTGCAGCGGATTAGCATAATTCGAGAGGAACTCTGTACGCACGAACTTCTCCAACACGTGCACCACATCGTTCGTTAGATGGGCGGACACGTATGTACGCGGTCTGATCGTTAAAAATCTGGCTGGTAAGGCATCCACGGGAAATTAGATTCTATCGTTCTCTGACAGCGATGCGTACTGTGATTTATCGAGTTTCCTCGATGCGAAGGGAAACTTTTATGGCGCCTCTGAAGGAAGGAAGCTAGAACGGTGGGAATCGCGAAACTTCAAGCCGGATAGGTTTCTAAACAGAGAAAAACGACGTTACCGTTGTGTAATAAAGAAGCACGACCAGAGTGATGTGGAAAAATACGGGATTGACGATCCGTGCTTTAAGTGAATTGCGAAAATTGATGAAAATTAACATTGACTTTATTTTATGATACTAGATATATGTATAAGGCGTGTGCTCAAACTAGAAATTTATCAGGCTTCTATTAACATTCCATAGAGGCTTAAAATTAAATGATTAGAATTGTTAAATATTTAAAGGAGAATAGATTTTCTTCGCATTTAACGCAATGAGATATGCATATGATAACAGACGCCTGCAATAATTCATTCAAAACCGTAATAAGATTATTAATTGATTTTCAAATTTCAATTTTCAATTTGATACCACATTATTTTTCTTTTACCTTCTTTAATTACTTGAAGCGTTGACCATCAATGATCCTGATAGCAATCAATCAAAGATTTCCTGGAAATGGTGACAACATTATTTCAATTTGTCCCCGATCAATCAGGACGCGAAGCTCCCTAACTGCTATCCACTTTTTTCGATCAGCTGTAGTTTTCCAAGCAGCTGATCGTGAGTTGGCCGGATTCGAAGGGCATCGATACGCAAAAACCTAGTGACCAATAAACGCGGCTGGTGTGCCGGACAAGTGGATCATTTCGAGAGTCTTTCGAATCGGGGGTGGAGGTTGGCCGGCATATTGAATAAACGCAGAAAATATAACGAACGTGGCTGGAAACGGTGAAAGATCGACTCGTTGGCGTTGCCAGACACTTCCTCGCACCCGACGAGGAATCGGTGTACACGAGAAGGAATGCGACGATAGGCCGACCGGTAGCGGGACTACGAGGGGGAACAATTAGTTAATCGAGTTGATCGATGAATTTCGTTCACACGATGCGCGTTCCAATTCGACGTCTGATTGAGAGCTTCTATTCACTCCCCTTTCTATGTACGCGAACTGGCTTGGTCGCGGCATTTCGCACCAAATAAAAGCCCTCGTTGCAACTAGGGTGAGGCGTATATGTAGTTTAGTATCCCTCAGGCCGTTCCAGCTAATATGAAAGCCAATGTCACGAGCTTAACCAACGAAATTTTGATAACGTTGCGCGTGATGCACGATCCGATCTCGTTTTAAATGCTATCATTTTTCGTCGCGTACCCTTCGCGACTGGCTGTTTCATTCGAAACAGCAGCACCGGCTCGTGCACGCTCTCGACGAGCATTTGAAATTAAATCGTACCATTATTTAAGCGTGAAACAGTTACTCGCGTCCTGAAATTAACCCAGTTTCGCCGGCAAATAATTGTTCATATCGCGAGAGAATAATCAAGATACGGATCGACGTCCCTAACGACTTCCGTGGCTTGCTTGTTCTTTCTTCTCTTGACATGCTTCGAGGTTCTCGTACTAGCAGCGTATTAAACACCGAATGGAAGAAAATAAGCGACGTTAAAGAGTAACAAGCGCAACCGTGTCTCGGTTCGTTAGTCCTCGCGCTTTGCATAAAATCGTTCATTAAAAGATAAGCAGATTTCGTGATTCGAAAGAATATCGAAGCGTTTCGAATAGACCGCGGAGAAATCGGGTAAACACGTATTATCGAACGGCCAATCTGAAAG